TCTAGCTCCTTTGATGGCCGATTCGCTAATTTCCAGTTTAATTGTATCCTTTGGAAAAACAGGCGAATTGTCGTTTACATCCTGGATGGCTAGAGAAATACGATGCAGCTCCAAAGGGCTCTCTAGGACTAACTCAAATTTAAGCATACACGACATCTTATCCCCACAAAACTCTTCTCTGTCAATCCGTTCCCTGATCACAAAATTTCCTGATTTTAGATCAATATCACAGTAGTGCTGATAGCTTTCTTCTGTATCAATACGAGCTTTACGGGTAAACAATTTCCATACTTCCAGGCCGAGGTCCTTGGCTATATTTCCAACAATGGATCCCGGTCTCATCTCCTCCGGAATAGAATAGCTGAGGTCTGCAGTGCCGATATGGACGAAGAAAAGAAAGCCATAGACAAAACTCAACAACGATTTCTCTTTTAGGTCCATTGTTTCTCCCGAACGATAATAGAAACACACAAATAACTATCGTCCCAGATCCACTTGAAATGTAATGGTTACATTAACCTACACCGCTTCCTCAACAATGGCAGCTCTGGTTTCGAGGCTTGGATAACTGCCCTCTTGCAGTGGGTGGAGGAAAAAAAACGATCTGCAAGTGAGCAGCGACACTGTGGGATAAACTGGAAAATTACAAATGAATTTCTCAAAGACTATCATATGATGCTACAGTTAATGTCAGAACTAAAGAGAAACTACGAGGCTAAAATCCAATGTAAACAAAATAACACTTTTATTTTATGTCATTTTTACTCACTCTTTTAAAAAAAGCATGGTTTCAAAGGGGCACTGATAGAAATACAATTCAGCACCATGGACAGAGTTGAAACAGAAGTGATTGTTGTGCCATTTCTTAGGTGCAACTCTTACTTCGACTGACTTAACGCCTGATAATCAAGTCATCATTCTTACTGAAGAGCAGTGTCCATTTGAAAAAAATACAAATATTTATTATAACTTCAAAATATTCAATGCAATTCGACATACTTTCTAAATACAGTGATAAAGGTAAAGTTGGTAAAACGTGTTCATATTGTTAAATCGTGTGCCTTTAAAGATAACAACAAACTACCCACATATAGTTTACACATTTATTCAGACGAAATATGACATTTTGTTTTCTCTGAGGTCCTAGAGCCGACTAAAGAATTTGACAATCAATAGCAATTGTAAAGCAATTTTTTATGGTCTCATAATCCTACACTTAAACCATTTAATGTACTCAGGGTAGCAGAGGATTGAGCCAATAAACATATACTATAGGGTGAGAGGTAATGTACAACCTGGTCAGCTCATCAGTCTAACAGGGACAATGCATACTGTAGACAAACATTCAGTCATCCTCAGACCAGTGAGTAATTTAGGATTTCCTTTTCAACTTAACCATACAGTATTTGGACGGTGAAAGGAAACCGGAGAAAATTCACATGGACATAAGCTAAAGATGCAAACTTTAGCAGGCCGGTGGAGACTAACTGAGTACCTTCTTGCTGTGATGCCGCAGTAGTTTCAACCAAGCATGTACACACAATTTTATTCTTTTTAATGATTCTTTTAATTGGAATGAATACATTTATGTAATAGAAAAAATCTACCTTTTCATTAAGTAGGCAAGGCCAAATTTAGGAAAATCCATGTCTAAAATAATTAGCATCACATGTAAAACCTTTAATAGGTCAAACCTTAAAAGAGGTCCTCATCATGATTTATGTTTGTATGTGTGACAACAACCTAGTCACACATACAAACATAAATGTGACAGCTCGTTGTCTCAGATGTTCTGAGGAACATTGAAAATTTAGATGCAACTTATTTTTAAGTGTCAATACCACTGTAAAGTCTCAATCAGCCTTGAATTAAAAGTCAGCATTTTAGATTCACAAAAACCTTGGACCTCGGAGAGTCCACCTACACCAGCACTTTCAGAAGTGTACCAAGTATCTGCATAATCCCCAGTCCCATCTGGGATCGTTTTTGTAATGCACAACCCTACATCCACTCCCAGTCTGACTTCAACTTAAACTGTCGAAAAACAATAATAAATATTGTCATCATTATGATTATAAAATTCAACTGAGCAAGCAAACATTGCAGCCTACCTCTGGTGATTCATCTGGTTGACCAAATGCTTCAGCAAAATCACTTGGACTTTTCCTCAGAGTCTGATCAGCAGGCAGTGTGTTATCATTGTAAGATGTCACGAACTTAAAGTCACTGGTTCTAGATC